GGGGAGGGAAGGGAAGGGAAGGGAAGGGAAGGGAAGGGAAGGGAAAGAAAGGAAAGGAAAGAATTATCCAATAAATTTTGTTTTGCTGTGTCCCCAAACTCTTGACCTGGCCAGTAACTTTTCTGCACTTCTTTGCCTGGTCACGTAAGGTTTCAATTGACTTTCACATTTAGCAACAACAATAACCCCCTGAGATATGTTTCATAGTTTTATATAACATCTAAATGTCAACTATAAATCATTAGCATGCTCAGTGAGCTGTTTTCCTTCTCTTGAAAACAGTATTGTAACCGGACAGCATCTAAAGGATTTCCTTTGGCTTTTGGAACAGCTGGGACCGTCTTATAGGGGTTCAGAGAAAATCCCTACAAACCATACACATGAGCCAAGAGAGAGTCAAATAAGCACCATTTGTCAAACATCAGGAGGCACTTCCCAAATGGATACTGCAGCCCAGCATCTCTCTGACTGCCCACTCACAGCCAGGGTGGTGGGCAAGCTGGCAGGGGTATTGGCAGGGCTTCCTCCTGCTTCTCCTTAGTGAGGAAGACACCTGCCTTTGGCTGCCTCTCAGCCCTGGTGACTCCATGTGTCTTCTCTCCTCAGTGGTCAGATGAGCAGTGCGCTTCGCAGGTCATGCAGACAGGCCAGCAGCACCCCCAGACTCACCGACAGCTGAAGGAGACGCTCTATGAGATCATCATAGGCTACTTTGACAAAGGAAAGGTAATTTGTCCCTGTCCTTCCTCACTCTGTGGGGACCTTAGCAATGGGAAAGGGTGGTTCCTTCCTATACTCCGTACTCCATCCATCTACAGGTCTGGGCAACTCTCCCTCCCAATTCTAAGTCTGATCACTTGGCTCCACCTTCTCACCACCTCGATTCATGGCCTCGTCATTGTTCACTTGAATTAGTGGGTTCAAAGCAATCTGCCTGCTTTCTCTATTGCCTCCAACAGATCTTCCTTCATACAGGAAATGGGGATCACAAAAAATACATTGGATCTCACCATTCTCTTGCTTACAATCATCTCCATGGCTTCCCCATTCCACTAGAATGATTACACAATCCTGCTCGTGACCTGTGAGGGCCCACCTGAGCTGTTCTCTGACTGCTTCTATCATTTCATCCCTGCCAGCTCTCACATGTTATATGCCAAGCTCCTTTTCACATCAGGGTCTTTGCACTTGCTTTTCCCACCTTAGAACATTTTTCCTCCATAGCTTTCCATGCCAGGCTCCTTCTCACAGCTCGGAGCTTTGCTCAGACATCATGTCCTCAAGGACACCTTCCCTGACCAACCTAGACAAAACAGCATTTTAGAATGCCATGTACACAGAGACTTGTCTACTGCTGAATGCCCAATGGCTAGCACAGAGCTTGACATGCAGGGCCAAATAAATACATGTTGAGTAAGTAAATCAGTTGCGCAACTGAATAACAGCAAGGATAAAATATCTGGTGATGTTTGGTCAGGAGATTAGTCAGAACAACTGCTACCCATCTCCCAGTCTGCAGCAGAGCTTCAAGAAGCACCAACCCAAATGCAACCATCATCCTGTAAGAGATGTGGCATGTGGCCTAACTGCTCTGGCCCTGGAGCCAGCCTGGTTTCAAACCTTGCTCCTCTACTACCTACAGTTCTCTTGACCTTTTAGGGACTCCAATTCCCACCCAAGATAGTGATACTAATAGTACGTACTTCCTAGTGATGTTGTGAAAACTAGGTGCGAGAGTGCATGTGGAACACCTAGCATAGGACCTGGTACATAGTCCTATCTTCTTAAATTTTAGCTCTCATCCTTCCCCTCCTCTGCCTTCAAGTCCCCAGTGAATGAGCCACTTCCTCCATGAAACCTTTCTTGAGTCCTCCAGCTTACCTACAGCCCTGGCTTTCTTCTGAATTACAAGGTCTCTTACAGCTTATCAGGACATAATTTAATGGACTTAATTTTGGTCTGTTCTGTCACTGCAGTTCATTGTATCTGTCTTAGCCTGATCTCCCCACCTTCCCTGGAAAGACAAAATGAGGTAATGTCTGTGGAAGGGCTTATAAATTCCCAGGATCTGAGCAGTTAGAGAACGCTGTTTTTATAATTTACAATTATAAGCCTCTTGAGGGCAGAGAGTCTGCCATTGCTGGAACGTCCTGCCCTACTCGAATCAAGTCAGAGCTCACTATTTGTGCACAGCTGATTCGGTCCATCACAGTGTGAAGGCCCCAAAAGGACATGCTGAGCTTTGTCCTCTGCAAAGTATCCAGTTCAACTCACCCTGTGCTGAGCAGAGAGGAAAAAGACATCATCCCTCATCTCTAGCTGCTTATCATCTAGTTGGCAAAACAGACGTGCCAATCATGATCTTTTTTTGCATATTACCCTTTGATGTTGTACAATAATGGAAGATGAGGGAGGGAAAGGTAGTGCCAAGGTACTTTCGGAACAGAGAGGAGAGAACAGATGGGTACAGCTCACTCTGATAGCCACTGCTGTGGAAGCTTCCAGAATGAAGCCCAAACTCTATAGCATCCCTTTACCTTCCTTTCCCCATACCTCCCCTCATGGAGATTTATTGCTCCAGACCCGCACAGTGGCTTTCTACTCCATAAGTCCACCTGTCAATACTTGGTGGACACCTCTACATCCCTCAAAACCCAATTCTCACATCTATTTATGTGTATGCTTTACCCACTAATGTTTCATGGAGGAAGAGACTGTCTTGTCCATACTTGTGTCTGTTCCATCACTGTATACCATATCATGCCTAGAAACCAACAGGGGCACCAAAGTTAATGTATGAGATTCAGAAGTCCCAATGACAGTATGGGCAAACTCAGGAGGAAATCCTAAGGTATCTGACTCCCATCCACCGCCACCCCCCCGCCCCTTAGTGGTCTCTTAACACATGGGGAGAGCATTTCTGTCATATTATGGTGGGAAGTTGGCAAATACCTTACACGTGAGCCAAACAGTCCCCTGACCCAGCCCAGGGACTTTACCACCATCTTCTTGTCAGGCTGAAGAGAAGAAAAGCCCCAGCTCAGTCTGGCCTGTGGACTTGGTTCCTCCTGGCACATAAAGCATTTTTATGCTGCTCACTAAGTTGTCCACGGGTTTACAGCCATGGCTCCTCCACTCGGCACTTGCTTTTATTTATTTTTATGCTTGGATGCAGAGAGAGCATTTTTGCTACAAAGCACACACTATATTTTGGCAACCTCCCCTCTCTCCTTCCCACCTCCCCTAGCTTCTCCATTTAGATGCATTTTCCATTTTAAACTGAATATGAAATGTGATGGGTGTCCCTTGAGACTGCCAGATCTCCAGCCCACTCTGCATCTCCTCTGCCTCTCTGCAGAGGCTCCCGACCCCCTTCAGTCTAAGATGGAAGGATGATCTATTGGATTCAGCCTAAGACAGAGCAGAGGAAAAGGAAAATCCCCTATATCCAGGGTTTGTTTTTTCAGAAATTTTTTTTTCAAATGGAAAAGACCTATTTACAAAAAGTTCTTTTTTAAAAAAATAGATTTTATTTATTTATTTAACAGAGAGAGAGAGCAAGCACAAGCAGGAGGAATGACAGGCAGGGAAGAAGCAGGCTCCCCGCTCAGCAAGGAGCCCGATGTGGGGCTCAATCCCAGGACCCTGGGATCATGACCTGAGCTAAAGGCAGCCACTTAATGGACTGAGCCACCCAGGCACCCCAAAAAGTTCTTTTTTTTAAGAGAGGGAGTGGGGGGCAGATGGAGAGGAAGAGAGAGAATTTTAACCAGGCTTCATGCCCAGTGTGGAACTCAACATGGGTCTCAATCTCACGACCCTGAGATCATGACCTGAGCTGAAATCAATAGTCAGACACTTAACCAACGGAGCCATCCAGGTGCCCCTTACAGAAAGTTCTAATCACTCTTTTTATACTCTAGTACCAGCTCCATCTCCACCTCTCTGCAGCCTCCTCCCCACTCATACACTCCAAATAACCCCATTAAGAAGTGACAGGTATAAAATTTCAGTTATACAAGATGAATAAGTTCTAGAGACCTGCTGTACAACATTAGATCTATAGTTGACAATCCTCAGGTCACACCCAGGTGGGCATTCTAGCCCAGCTTTTGGTTGGGCATGTGACCTGGGACAGTGTTTCTGCTGTCTGAACTTCCATTTCTCACCTGGGAAACTCGAATGTTACCAGTCACCTCCCAGAGCAGTTGTGAAGACACAGAGGGCATGCAAATAAAGCATTTAGCTTCATCTCTGGCTGCTCCATTATTTGTCACAAAACCAGAATGAGGGGCAGAGGAAGGGTCATGCTCTCTGGGAAGTACCTGGCTCCCTGTGCGTGGGACCAGGCCTGGGTCTGAGTGAGGCTTGCAGTGCAGTCCCAGGAGGCAAGCTGCCTCAAGTCCCTTCCTCAGCAAGGGTTCTACAAGCCTGGAGGTGTCTCCTAACCTTTGTGTCCATGACCTTCCTATAGATGTGGGAAGAGGCTATCAGTCTGTGCAAGGAACTGGCGGAACAGTACGAGATGGAGATCTTCGATTATGAGCTCCTGAGCCAGAACCTGGTAAGTCTGGGTGCCCAGGGCCTCGGGCTCCCCAGAGAGGCTGGGGAGAGGAAGTGGTAGGCCAGGTGGGGTCAAGTCAGCAGAAAAGGACTGGAAGTAGGGCCTGAGCTGAGGAAGGCTGCTGAAAGCCTTCCTTCCAGTTGGGAGTATTCCCAGAGGGAGGTATTCTGGGAAAACTCATCAGCAACAGTTTCCCGGATGGAGTGGTAAGTACGCTGTTGCATACCCAATAAACACTGTGCTACATTTGCAGTAACATCCCCACAAATCACTAAGCCAATTAAATAAAAGCACAAATTTGTGCTTTCTGATTAACAGATAAATCACATTAAAATGTTCCCCATCTGGCCATTCCCCATTAGCTCCTTGGTGCTGGTGATTTGGTGGGGGTAAGTGGAAAGTGCGGGAAGCCAGCCTAGCCTGCTCAGGCTGCAGATGCCAGGGCTTGGAGAGGAGGTGGCCTCTGCAGGGAAAGCGCAGAACATTTTGGCTGCTCCTACCACTTGTACACCTCCCACATATTTCCTGGTCACTTCAGAGCCAGGCCCCGGCGCCCGTCTTAGCCTATTTTGACAGGCCAGTCCAGCTGTGTCCAGGAAACTCTAAAATGAGAGTCAGAATGTGGAGAGATGGTTTATTGCTTCTTGCGCGGGGAGGGGAATGGGTATTGAGAACCATGTTCTTGTTAAAAACAACTGAGCTCTTAGCTGTTTGTACTGTGTGTAAGATATGATGCAAACACACACATGTCGTCACACCAAGAGACACTGATATCTACCCCACACATACATCCACATAGATGTTTGCGGACATGTAGACACACACGCCTTCTAAACATGTGCATTCATGTGCTTGCTCACACACACACGCACACAGAGTGCACATTCATGCACACACACACGCACACATACATCCCATACACGTTTGTATACACAGGTACACACACATATCCTATACACATGTATGCACAACACACACATAGCACACACATGTGCACACATGTATGCACGACACGCACACGGTGCACACGCACTCACACATGGCACGCATGTATGCACACAGAGCACACATATACACACATGGTGCACACATGCACACACGTGACACACATGTGTGCCCACACGTGCAATACATGTGGTGCACATGCACACATGGTGCACATGTATGCGGCACACATGGTACATGTGTGTTTCGGTGCACACAACACATGTGTGCACATGTGACACGCGTGTGCGCATGCACACATGAACACACATGGTACACTTGTGTGCATGCGCACATGCACGCACAGTACAGATTCATGCACCTGCTGATGTACATGCACATTCATGCTCTGAGGCTTGTGCTGCACAGGCTTGTGTCCACGCACATTTATCTCTCATAAACACATGCCTCGTGTGCATGGAGGAGGGAGCTGTGTGGCGATGGGGGCTCTGGACTGCTGGCTGGATTCAGCTCCATACTTACTAGTTACACTATGAGACACCATTTCTTTCTCCGCAAAACAAAGATAGGATACTTGTTACGAGGATGATGCAAGTAAGTGAGCTAGTACAGGTGGATTGATCAACATGGGACCTGGTACAGGGTAAACACAGCTACTGCTGTGATGATGATAGACATAGCCACGGATATGCAAACATGTGCACTGGGCGTCATGGTATAATGATCATGTCTCAAGTGTGGCCTCTCTGAGTGGAATGTGCCCTCGATACACATCTATGTGGTTACAAGCTCTGAGTTTTCTCCCTCCAGATCCAGCAAGCGAAATTCTATGAAAACATCATGAAAATCCTCAGGCCCAAGCCAGACTACTTTGCCGTTGGATACTACGGCCAGGGATTTCCCTCCTTTCTGCGGGTGAGTGTGCTGGTGACGGAGACCCAGGCCAGGGGCCTGGGGCTTCTCAGCTGTCACTTTGTGCTTCGAGGATCCGCTTATACCCAGACTCTCTGCTCTCCTCCTGAGTGCTGCCCTCCTCCCAGCACACGCCCAGTCCCCTCCATCATCACCACCCTCAGCCACCCCATGTTTCTCTAGATATGCAGCAACCAGAGCTGCCCCACAAGGTGGTAGCTCCCCATCCCTGAGTGAGGTGTTCAAGGAGAGCCAGAGGACCTCAGCTACCCAGCAGGCATTGCAGGGCACCAGTTCTCAGACCCTTTGGGCTCAGGAATCTCTTTTCTCTCTGAAAAATTATTGAAGTCTTCCATGAACTTTTGTATTTATAAGTTCTGTCTACATCTACCATACTCAAAATTAAAACAAAGACAATTTTAAAATACTTATCTTTGTATTTAAAAATAATAATTAACCTCTCATGTGTTAGCATAACTTGTATCTTTATGAAAAATATTGTGTGTTTTCCCATATTTTCCCATAAAAATATATGCCAACAGTGAGATTGTTTCATATTTCTGCAGATCTCTTTAATGTTTAGATTGAGAGAGGATAGCTAGGTTCTTATACCTGCTTGCATTCAGTCTGTCATGACAATACACATCATACAGGCTCTGGAAAATTCTACTGTACATCTGAGAGAATGAGAGTAAAAAAGGCAAATACCAGCTGTCCATTATTTTGAAGAGTGTTCCCTGGTCTTATGAGGTCCTGAAAGTGTCCTAGAGACCCTCAGGGGTCTCTGGAGCATACTTTCTGAACCAGAGTTTTTGTGGAATATTCACTGATCATGTAGAGAGTTGGACTAGGGCAGTTATAGGCTTCCTTCCTATAGGACTCCTTCCAGTGAGGCTATGGTTTGGTTCTGAGGTCAGGGAGGTAGAAAAGAAACAGCAAATCTGATCTCTAACCTTACTTGATTTACAATGCAGTCGAAGAGATAAGTCTCTCGCTGTAACCAGTCAGTGTGGAAGTCAGAGTGAGCTCATAGGAGTGAGCACCATAGCCTGCAGAAGAGGTAGATAGTAAGGCTTTCCTCAGTGGAACAGAGGGGGCTTCCCAAACCTGATTGTTCATCAGAACCCCCTGAGGAGCTTGTTAAAAATACATGTTTCTGGATCCTACTACCATAGATCCCATTTCAGCAGGTCTGGAGCAAGACCTGGGGAGCTGAACTTCTAGAAGTCTCCGAGGCCCATCTGATAATCCCCCAGATTTGAAAACACTGATGTGCAGAGGTGACAGTTGTGGATTTGGACTGCGGAACTTCCGGGCCATTAGACGTGGCACGGATGGTACAGAAACATTCTAGAACAGGGTTTCTCAACCTCAGCTCTAGTGACATTTTAGACCAGGTTATTCTTCGTTATGGGGGCTGTCATCTGCATTGAAGGACATTTAGTAGCATCCTGGGCCTCTACCCACTGGGTTCCAGTAGGTCTCCCTCCCCCAAGCTGTGACAACCAAAAATATTTCCAGACATTGCCAGTATCCCTTAGGAGGCAAAATCACCCCCTGTTTGAAAACTACTGATTTAGAGGAGGCTAACACGGTCAGAGAAGGATAAAGAGTGTGTTTCTATGGATCTAGAGCCAGGAGCCATGTGATGAAGGACCCGAATGCTGGGATTTTCCATGCTGCAGGCCCAGCCCACAGGACCCATGAAAGGCAGGAGGGACGTGTTACGGTCATGTAAACAGAAGAGCAGGTGTGACACATTGAAAGCCAAGTGAGGAGTAATTCTGAAAGCTGTCAGGGCAGTCTGAAGAAGTTCTCCACATCCATGATCCCCCCTCCTTTTAGAATCAATCTTTTTAAAGCAGTGATGTGGCTAGCGAGGTCAGTGAGCTGAGTTTCTCCTTGCTGTGGTGGGGAAGCAGAAAGGAGAGAGATCTATAGGAGGTCACCATAGCTCTGTGCTCATGTCACAAGCCTCCCAGCTTTGCTTACATCATGTTCTCCAAGCCTGGGCCCTGAGATCTCTGTTGGGTGTCATTTTTCTGCAGAACAAAGTATTCATCTACCGAGGGAAGGAGTATGAGCGGAGAGAAGATTTCCAGATGCAGCTGATGAGCCAGTTCCCCAATGCAGAGAAGATGAATACAACCTCTGCCCCTGGAGACGATGTGAAGAATGCCCCAGGCCAGTGTATCCTTGGAGAATGGCCCAACCAGGGGCCAGGCAGAGGCAGCTCTGCTGGGACTTCAGCCCACAGAGCCCCACCTTAGAGCTTAGGGCTGCCGCCAGAATCATTGCAGTGGTGCCAATTTTAGTGTCCAGTGTGGGATCCAAAGAATCCATCTCGGGAAACTGAATGTTGCATTCACTGATCAATGCACTCATTCATTCATTCTCATAATGAATACTATCAAGCCCTGACTCTGTGCCGATCATTGCGCAGGGTGCTGAAGATCACACTCACAAAATGGTCCTACCTTCAGGGAGCTTACAGTCTAGCAAGTAAAAGAGACACCAAACTAATTGCACCATTAAATATGTTTATAAAAATGGGATTAATGCCAAGAGGAAGCCATGCAGGACACTGTGATCGGGAGGGCAGAGAAGGCTTCCTTGAGGAAGGTAATGTTTAAGGTTAGCAACCCGCCAGAGGTCAGTGGGAGGCAAGGAGAATGGCCCAGACAGAGGTAAGGACCATCATGTGCCCGGGCCTCGAGTGGGAAAGAGCACAGCAGGTTCCAAGAACTGAAATAGTGCCACGTTGCTCTTATAATAAGATTAAAACTCCTACGCGAGGCCAGTGGGCTGTCCACCAACTGACCCCTGCCTGCTTCTCCAATGTCATTGCCCCCCTCCCCATGATTCCTTCCCTCTCTCATGCCCCTCTGGCCACAGTGGCCTCATTTCTGTTGCCTAAACATACCTACCTGGTTCCCCCTGGGCCTGTGCATCTTCTGTTCCCTCTGTGTGTCATGCCCTTCCCCTATAGCTCTTTTTTCACCCATCAGATTGAACCTGGTGTCACCTCCTGGAAGAGACTCTCCTGGTCACTTATCTAAAGTTGGCTTTTCTGAGCTCTTCATGAGCCTCGTGTCTCAAACCCTGTTTGTTTTCTTTAGAGAGTTGATCCCAATCTGCTATCTTTCGTGCTTTTTAAAGGTCCACGTAAGCTAGACTGTAAGCTTTGGGAGGGCAGAGGCCTGCACTGCCTTGTTCACCACAATAACCACCCCCCCACACACACACCACCTGCCTCGGTGCACAAAGCTGACACTGAGAAACTCCTTGTTGATTAATAGAAAGACAAGGGAAATAAGAGAGAAAGAAAAGAGAGATAGACAAATAGAGACTAGAAGGAGGGAAGGACACAGGGAGGAAGCCAGCTCATTGGAGTCCGCAAAGAAGGGCACAGGAGACACGAGATGATGCCAGTGAGGTTGGATCAGTGGTGGTGTTTGTAGGGCCAGGAGCTGACACTGGGCAGGAGGCAGGACTCCTGGGGGCAGAGAGCATAGAAACCCGAGGAGCAGGCAGACAGCTGAGTGGAGATGTACTCACCCACCCTGGCTCCCACACTGCACCCTGTAGCACAAATTAAGTTACAGCCTTTAAAATGGGGTTGACAGGTTGCATGGCTGGGCTGCTAAGTCTGCCAAACCTTAATCCAAATATTTTTCCCTTGGGTGATAAATATTCATCTGTAACCTTTTCATTATGCTCACCTGCCCTTCATGCCTGCTCTACCATGGTGTTTGCGAGAGGAAATGCAACTAGTCCTGGGGCTGACTGGTTACAAATGTGATTTTGGTTACAGACGAGACGGGAGATTAGTACTAAGCCCCTTCTTAAGTGGACTCCTGGCTTTGAATAGCTGTGGTCTTATAGCTTGGGGCAGATGGAGAGCATGGGTTATGGGGCCATCTCATCATATGTAGGCCTGATTCAGTGCCAGGAATCAGGTGGAAAAGGAAAAAGGGCTGACATTTGCTAAATGTCCTCTTCATGCTATGCATGAGATTGAGTGCTTTGTAAACATCATTTCTTTAACCCCATAAAACTCTATAAGATGGGTATTATTTTTGTCATATGTCATAGGGAAGGAATGTGTAGGGCAGAGAGGTAAAGTAGTTTTCCTAGGATCACAAACCTGGTTAGTGATGGAGGGAAGATCTGAACTCTAAGATCTATCTCAAAGTCTGTATTCTTTCTATAATGCCATCACTTTCATCAAGATTCATGAAGAGAATGTTCTTTATTAACTGTTCACCATGCACCAGGCATTTTTCATGCATTGTTTCATTTTAGCCTTATAGTAATCCTATGAGTTGGGGATTATTACTCTCTGTATTTTGCAAATAAGAAAACCAAGGCTCAAAAAATGTAAGCAGCTTACACAAGGTCCTGGGAACTGATAGAACTAGGATTTGAACTCAGGTCTGCTTATTGCCCAAATCTGAATTCTTAATGCTCTGCTCTCTTACCTTCTCTAGTGGAGCTGACAAGCAGCTTGGAAGGGTGACTCATCTCATGTCTTTTCATTTAAGTATCAAGTGGGGGAAGACATCTGAAGCAAAGGTCTCTTAGTTGAGTGTCTCCTATCTCCCACCTTCCCCCTGCCCAGAACTTGGGGTCACAGTTCCATGCATAGATTCAACATGTGCTGAGACAGTCTAACCGTGCATCCTCCTGGACATGATTTGAGGGCTCTAGTGTCACTAGCTTCCCCAGGACAGGTTTGGATTCTCCTCTTGGACCGAGGCCAATTGCTAAGATCAGTAAATATGACCTAAAACCTTCTCTAAAACAAGGGTTGGCAAATTTCTCTGTAAAGGACCAGATGGGAAATATTTTAGTCTTTGTGGGCTGTGTGGTCTCTATGTCATAACTACTCAACTCTGTGGTTGTAGTGGGAGAACAGCCATGGATAATACATAAATGGATTAGCATGGAAACCAAAGTGGTTTCCCTTTCGGAGAAGGCTGTTGGCTGTATGGCTTGAGAAAGAGAATGGTTTTCCTGAATATTACAGAAATCCTTTCAGTGAGGTTTGGCATTGTGTTCTCTCTCTCTCTCTCTCTCTCTCTCTCTCTCTCTCCTTCCCTCTCTTTCTCTCTGAGGGACTCTCATTTAATGTGGAAATATTCTCCAGAGGTAAAACAATTAAATCCCCAGCATATTAGTATGGACTAAGTTTATCAGAGGGGAACAATTGAACTTGGAATTATATTTTAGCCATTTGTTCTGTGTGAAAGAATCTACCATCAGAAAGCTCCCAGTGTGGTGGGAGGGCTTGGGAGGAGAAGACAGGGAGCTAGAGAGATAAGAGTCCTAAGTACAGGCAAAATGCCATGGAGAGTCAAAGGAAGGAAAGGACACCTGACTGGGGGTAAATTGAATGCTCACGTAGCCTGTCATATATGACATTTGCCTCAAGGGCTCACAGGGAGAGGGGATGATATGAGAAAATATTTCAAGCAAAGGGCATAGAAGAATCTTTGGGGTAGCCAGAGATAATGGTGGGACATGGGTTGGGGTCATATTAGAGTAACTTTGAATGCCAATAAGAGGAGTTTGTGATTCCTTAGTTGGCAGAAATTGCAGGTTCAGGAGAGAGTTTTTGGAGTTATGGTGGTCCTTGGGTAGAATGAAGGGATGAGAGTACTTGGACACCTGAAGAAGAGAGATGAGTAAAGGAGATGGAAGGCAGAGGAAGGGAAGGAGGAACCAGGGAATAAGACCAGTGATGGCTGGTTTTGTTTATTTGGATGGCCATGTTATCAGCTTAAAATGAATAAAGGTCTAGAATAGGCAGATAACGCTCCCATTGCCTGTGCCTGTCGCAGGCATCACTAATCAATCATAGAACTGTTTTCCACTGATCCTGGACACGGCCTTACAATCCTGCCACAGGCAGTTACTTTCAAGCTTTCAGAGTTGGAATGCAAAATGATATCTCTTTGCATGCTCTAACGCTGTGCTTCTCAAACTTAAGGATGCATATGTATCACCTGAAGATCTTAAACTACAGACACTGATTCAGTAGGTCTGAGGTAGGGCTTGGGACTCACCATCTCTAACAAGCCTCCAGGTGATGTGATGCTGCTGGGCAAAGGACCACACTGGAGTCTGGAGTCAAGGAACCCCGAGCAGGGGGTTAACAGACCCAAATACAAACCTCTGTTCTGTTCTCACAAGCTGTGTGACCTTCAACAATTAGTCTGGCTTCTTTGACCTTGATATCCTCATCTATGAAAGGGGGATGACTTACATTAATAACACTGCTCAGTGGAATTGGCAAGATGAAAGGAGACCATGGGGAGATGTGCTCTGTAATTGATTGAGAACTATAAATTCATTAGATGGTATTACTGTTAATATAGAAATGATGATGATGATGATGATGATGATTAAGGACCACTAACCAACTCTTAGCAGGGCCTGAGCCCTGGGATAAGGTTGCAAGTGACAGGCAGTTCTGTTAAGGACCAGGGTGACTACTAACTTCTCATTAGGACCTAGCTGGCAGCCAGCAACCTGAAGTCAGTCATTCAGTAAAACTTGGCCTCAGAAGGGCTGTCCAGGCAGGTCTCACCTGGGACCTGCTATATTTGGAACTGTTCCCACAGCCGACAACATGGTGTGAGCCCTTAACAGCAGGAATCCCAGACATCCAGTGTTTCACTGTCCAGCCGGTCTTGGATGAACACCCAAGGTTCAAGAATAAGCCAGTGCCTGACCAGATAATAAAGTAAGACCCACAGTTCATTGGAAGGAGGGATGGGGAAGAAAATCCCATGGGGCCGCCAAGCTGAGCTAGTGGCAGGACAGGCCCTGGAGCCCTTCCAGTTCTTTTTCTGGGTCAGCCAGCCTTTTATCCCTTTTCCTCTTGGGAAAAGAATCACCTGCCCCCCATTAGCCATCTGGGCTCTGCCCCTGAAAAGGCTGAAGCCAAGAGATGGGAGGAACGAGGCACAGCAAATCCTCAGGAAGCAGCAATGACGTGCACCGAGCTGGAGATGACAGAGAGGTTCCAAGGAATCCATAGCCAGACTGTGGGCTGGGCAGGCGACAGGCAGGGTGGGGACAGAGGGACAGTGCTCATCCTGAGCACGTTCTTCCAAAGGGACATCTTGTCAGCATTTGTTGAGGTTGTGCAATGAACAGCGGATGTGCTCTGGCTATAGGGGCATTAGAGACAGCAGCCGGAAGGTGGGTCTCCATCTGTTCAGAACCAGATCACGAGGTCAGTGATGAGGCCATGAGGCAGGGGTTCTGTGGGGCACCCCTCCGAGCTGCCCAGGTTACCCTCCTCAGACTCAGGTACCCACTATAGCACCTGGGAGGACATTGGGAAGCAGGAGGTCTTTGTGAGAAGAAGGGCCTGTCCACTCAGGGCAAGGCAGTCCACCCCAGCAGCCTCACACCAGGGCAGGAAGCAGAGCAGGTCTAGCTCAACTCGGGTCTGAGCCTCCCCTCACCCTTCAGGCCAATGCTGTGGGCAAAGAATAATAACTATACAGCTGGCACCGTGCCCTGCTGGCCCCAGTGTGAGAATCTCCCTAGAGATTCAGGAAGAGTGATTTGGGGGTGCTTGGGATACCTAAGGAAATCCGCAGAAGATACTCCTGGGACATGAGGCTAGGACCTTAGGCATATCTAGATCCTTCATTGAGGTCACAGGTGTGCATTAATGCTAAAATCCCAACTCCTTGGGTACCATGTTCTCATAGGACATAAGACTAATCCCGCTAGTCTAGCTTCTAAATCACTTTGCCAGGAGCACCTGATTTTAAATGCTACAACAAGGGTTCTGCCAGACCTGAAGTTTACTGTAATGAGCCTCCTTGGACAGCACAAGGTCAGTTCAGGTTCTGTATCAGCAGCCTGGCATGTTACCAGGAGCTTCTGCCTCTTCCTGTCTTGCAGCTTTTATAAATCCAACTATGTGCAGAAGTTCCACTATTCGCGGCCTGTGCGCAAAGGGACCGTCGACCCTGAGAATGAGTTTGCCGTGAGTATCTCCCCTCCCCTTCAGCAGCCTTGATCATTCTCCCAGGGCCGCCTTTACCAACCAGAGCAGGCACCTGCCAGTGTCAGAATGGGAGGGCATTTGTTCCAAAGCAGAAAGAAGTAAAACTAACATCTGCTAATATGATGACACCCATTCTCCAGTCTTTTCCACTGGGTTTGTTTTCATTTCTTGAGCCTCTCCACTTTCACGATACAGACCAGGCCTTTTCAACCACAGGGCATTTCAGACATTTCCGGAAGGTAGGAACCCTCAGGCTAAGCAGGGGTGTTGATGAAGTCAAACCTTCCAAAAAAATAGTAATAAGAAGCCACAGGGATTTCAGTCCCCAGGATCCCCTGTGTGCTTCCCAGCTAGGATCTGTCTTCTGTTCCCAAAGCTGGCATGAGGAGGTGGCTCTAAGTTTCTCTCCGCTCTTTGCCTTAGACTGTGATTCTTCATATTTTGGAAGTCACTGGCCCTTTAAGAATGTAACACTGTGAACCCTCCCCCCAGACAATGCAGGTAGATGCATTCAATATTGCTTAAAAATCCTGACGATTCAGAGACCCAGATTAAGACTTACTGGGCCTAAATCCAGGGAAAACTTTAACTTCACATTGGGAAAGAATTCTTAAGGATAAGGTGGGAGTATGTTTCTGAGTCTTGCAACATTTATCTGGACTCTGAGTAGATGAGAGGTTTGGGGGCCTGGCTGGGTTCTTGCCAAACTTCTCTGATGGCCAGTTTTCATCAAGTGTGTTGCTTTCCTGTCCTTACCACCCCCTGCTTATGGGACAGTCGATGTGGATCGAGAGAACCTCCTTCATAACTGCATACAAGCTTCCAGGGATCCTGCGCTGGTTTGAGGTGGTTCACATGTCCCAGGTGAGTCTCCAGGCCTTCCGGGCATAGCCAGTCTCGGGAGCCCCTTTAAACTATAAGAAGGGGACAAGCTTTTGTTCAAAGCCTAGAATTCCAATGCAAGAAGGGACCTGTGGTACCATCCAGATCACCTGCTTTCAGATTTCTCTCTTAAGCATCAGACAAGTTTTTCCCCCTGGCAAATGAAACCTACACAAGAATCTTGTAATAAAGCTGATGAATGGAAGCTTCTGTGGCTGGGTGCAGCAGGGAGGCAGGGCCTAGAACACCATGCGCTCAGTCATATCCTCATCTCCTCCTATCTCAGCAGCACCTTGGGGCTCCTCTGCAGAATCCCACTGTGAACCCATTTTATAGTTGGATAAACTGAGGCTCAGAGAGAGGAAATCACACAGAGGCAAAGCTCTGGCTAGACTGCAATTGTTTGAACTCCCCTTGGGGAGATAGCATGTCTTTTGCTTCTCAACACACTTCAGGGCCTCCAGGTGCTTAAACAGCTAAGGATCTTGCAGCTCCCAGGATGCAAAGGGAAGGCCAGGGTGATTATGAGGAAACTTGAAACATGGGGACATATTCAGGGTGTCATTCATTTATTCATTTAATAAATATTTAATGAGTACCCAACACATGTCAAGCACCTAGGGATTTTTCAGTGGCACTTACATTCTAGTGGGGAAGACATACTGAAAAGTCGAAGTAAGTATAATAATGTCATGGTGATAACCAGAATGGGGAAAAATAAAAGAAAAGTGGTGGCGGAGTGCTGCTATATTAAATAGGGTGGTCAGAGAATGCCTCCCTGCCAAAATGGAAGGCCTGGTGGAAGTGAGGGAGTAGTCCACGCAGATATCACAGAGAAGGACATTCTAGCAGCGGGACCAACAAGTGCACAGGCCCTGGGGACGGAACGTGCTTGTGTCTGATTCACGGCAAGTGAGGGTGAGTAGTCGGAACCTGATACCAGATCCTGCAGGACCTCGTAGGCCACCATAAGGACTTTAGCTTTTCCACTGACTGACCTGGAGCCATGAGCAAAGAAGGGACATGGTCTGGCTGACCTTGTCCAGCTGCTGTATTATCAGCTTGAGACCATCCCACTCTAGCCCTTACTGTCCCCCAGCAGCTTGATGGCCCTCCAATCTCCTTTTCACGGGCTTGGCCTAGACCTTAGGGAAAATATCATAATGATGATGACATCAGCAAACTTTTATCAAGCATGTGCTAAACCGTTCACATGCATTATCTCACCTAAACCCCTCCACAGGACTGCAAAGTAGATATTCTTATTCTCCCATTTCACAGATGAGGGAACTGATGTACCATGTGAGTTTATGGGTTATTTAAGCTTTAGTGGAAGAAGTGGGATTTGATTTTCACCTCCTATATCAGACATCTGGACCAGATTCACTCTCTCCTTCCCAAACATGTCCCCAGCCCATCCCGACATCAGTGGCACCCTGGAAAGAAAAAACTATTCGTGCTCTTTACTCATGGGACACATTGGTACATGATAAGCTTTGACAGGTGTCCCAGGCACAGTATCAAGGGCTTTACAGCATTATCCCATCTAATCCTTACAAAACCCTGAGACATATATATTCTCACCAATCCCATTTCTGAGGTGAGGAATCAGAAACTTTCTGCTAATATGTAGCCTCCACCCATTGGCCCTGGCTGTGTCTTATCCTCTGGTGATATTCTGCTCCAGCTAGGCTGTGGGCAGACTGAGGGAGTTCCCACTGTACTCCCTGTCCTCCCCCACCACCGGCCAACCCCTCTATGGTGTTTCTCCTCAAAGCACCCATCACCCCCTAATAGACTACATAATTTGCCTATGGGTCGCTTTTTTTTTTTTTAAGATTTTATTTATTTATTTGAGAGAGAGAGAGAGAGAGACAATGAGCAGGGGGAGTGGGAGAAGGAGAGGGAGAAGCAGACTCCCCGCTGAGCAGAGAGCCTGATGCGGGGCTTGATCCTGGGACTCTGGAATCATGACCTGAGCCGAAGGCAGACGCTTAACCAAGTGAGCCATCCAGGTGCCCCCCATAGAATTTTAAACATGATAACATAATATAATCTCTACTAGAATATAAGCTCCAGGAAGAGAGATTTTTGGCTATTTTGTTCCCGACCCTATCTCTGAGTGCAAAAATTAATCTCGGGTACATAATTGGTGCTCAAGATTATTTGTTAAATAAAGCCATCACTCAATCACTCAGTTAATATGCAGAAACCCTTAATATCTGAGCTGGTTATCTTGTTTTGTGAACTCAGGATTATGAAGTTAGGAAAGAGCCAACCTTTTTGTTTTGCTTCATTTATCCGGATGCCTTCTGAGAGAAGGGGTTTGGAAAATGTCCCGAAAGTTGATTGGAGTGAACTTACCTGTAATAGCCTCCCTCAGTTGAGTTACCAAGAACTTCAGGATGTCTCAGACATCAAAGTTTCATGCCTGCTGAGTGAGTTCATTTTCAAAAATCTGTTTTTGTCTTATATGAATTGGTATCTTGTTGTCAGTTGTTTCTTGCACGAATTGTCATGACTACAGTACTGTTTGTACAGAGCAGTGTTTTCCGATAGAATTCCAGTGTTGGTTCTGTGAATTGAGGGTTCTTTCCTTGTTCGTGGCCCTGGGAACATGCAGTCTTTACAAGGGGCTTGGAGACCCCTTTCAGCTGGGGCATTAACAAGCTATGTATGTTGGACAAACACTGTATATCTCTGAGCCTTAGTTTTCATTACCTGTAAGATAGAGATTGAAAAACTATGGAATTTCCGAGCTGAAAGGCACTGTACAAGTCATTTAGCCCAAGAGCTACAAATTCAAAAACCTTCCGAACCCAGGAAGATATTGCAAATATGTGAAATAATCCCATTAAGACAGCAGGGCGTGGCGTAGCTGTGGCAAGCTCCCTCCTGTTGAATTAAATCTAAAACATGAGAACACGTGTCTGGGCTAAATGAGAGGCCTCTCAAGGCCCAGTTTGGCCTACAGGTCTGCAGTGTGCAAACCCATGCCTGGTTCTTCTCCAGTGCTGTTATTGGCTTATGAAGTCACTGAAGCCCAGAATGGGACTTGAACTGTTCAAGTCATCAGTGGTAGGAGCAAATTGTAATAATAACTTAGCCTGTCTTGTGCAGCTCATGGGATTCGTAAGAGGATTTAGGAGGGTGATATGAGGGAAATGCCTTTGAAGGGATTACCATCACTTCATCTTTTGGCTGATGTTTCTCCCCCTTAAAACTATTCCAGAGTATTTGCTTCCTGATAATTTAGTTTCCCCTCACAGCAATTTGGGCAAGCATTACAAACCTATACTGCTGATAAGGAAACCAAGACTCAGAAAAGGGGCCAGAGATCCGAGGACTTGACTAAGTCCTAACAACCAATAATAAGCCAAGTTTGGTAGCAGAGTGGGCCTTCTGTGGTGAGAGGAGCTTGCCTTTTGAATCAGGAACCCCTCCCCCATTCCCTCCCTGCTCTGCGGCCATCTGCCCTGGGGCAAGCGACCCCTGTTGTCCAGGGAACAAAAGGAGAGTACCTGGGTGTGGTGTAAGCCCAGCGTGGGCTGACACCTGGGAGGCTGATCAGTAAATGGAGCCGGCCCCATTATCATGATCATTGCTTTTATTCCTGTTATCAGCCCCTGACATCCAGGCCTCCCACCAAATACATAACCCCCATAACTCTGCTGAGAGCTATAAACTCAGCGTAGGTGAGAAACCAAAAGAATTTTCATTCTCATTCTCTGTTCCTGATGGCTATAATGAGGTTAAAGACTTAGAGATTCAAAAATAGCTTCAGAAATGAGGAAAAAAAGCCAATCAATAGGACTTCCCATTTTTAATAATTCACCTTAAATCCTGCGTGTTTCAGATATGCCAGGCTATTGTTGAAATCCAGGGGTGGTGACAGATTTTCCTTAGAACTCAGTCTAGACCTTGGCTTTGTAAAGTCCCTGCGGGGCTGGTCTGTGTGCTTGATGGAAATGAGACCGTGGGTTGTAGCTTGTGGCATATGGACTTCAGCCCCCACCAGCCTGAGCAGCCACCCCCGGGAATTCATTTCCCTCCTTGTACGGGTGCACGTGTGTGTGCGAGCCCATGTGTGCAAGTGCATGTGTGTGCATGTTTGAATGTGTTTGTGTGAATGTGGCAGGGGGAGAAGGAAACAGAGGTGGAGTCTACTCCTGGGGCCTTCGTACGGCGGCAGAGAGCAGCCTTCCTCAAAAGGGTCCAGAAACAAGGGGGTGTGGAGGCTAGGATCTCACAGATCCCACGGAAATGGTTTAGAAAGATGACCAAGAGCATGGCTATAGAGGCTGTCTGTCCTCATACACAATGGTTATAATAATTAGCAGGTGCCAACTGTTAAAGAACTCTCCTATGAGTCAAGTGCTGTATTATCTCAAACAACCTTTGCTACATACCCAGTGAGGCAGGCACTATATGACCATCATGTCACAGATGATCCAGTGTAGGGTCCCTTCTGCCAAGAAGTCTTCTCCCGTTACTCGACGCTTCCGTCCAGGCTCTACTCGGCCTTGCTGGCAAGACTTCCCTTCTTAAGGACAACTGCTGGCCTCTGTCCTAACACCAACAAGAATTAATAACAGTGGCTACCAGCTACTCTCTGAAGCAGGTTTTTTATCCTCTGTCCTCATTTTACCAGAGTCAACCCAGGCTCAGAAGGGTTAGAAAATGTGCTCAAGGTCACACAGCTAGAAAAAATGGCAGAGCTGAGATTTATACTTAGTTTTAATTTGTTTAGTTCAAGGGTCCGCAAACTATGGCTTGGGGGCCAGACCCCACTTGCACCTATTTTGGTAAATAGTTCTCTTGTAACAACCAACAACGGGGCTCGTTCATTTACATGCGGCCTGTGGCGGCTTTCTCTCTACAACAGCAGGCTGTGTCCTTGCCTCAGAGCCTAAAAAGTACTTACCGTCTGGCCCTTTTACAGAAAAAGTGTGCAGACCCCCTGGCTCAGTTTTGAATTCCAGATCCCATCTTTTGAAAACCACCCTGTTTTGCCAGTTCCCATTCGATGGCACTCCGTTTATATTGCTTTCTAAGAGGTGTTAGAAAGGGGTTTCGTTTGATCTTCTCAACTAAATCGAGCCTGCCTTGGAGCAGCGACCTTTATACACCAACCAACCTTAGGACCTACTATGAGCCAGGCGGAGTGACCAGATCACCGGCTGCCCACACACCTAGTAGCTCACACACAGTAGGTGCACAACCGGAAGGGCTGAATTGGAGCATGTTTCGCCCAGGTAATAAGAAGAGAAAACCCTCCCTGGAGCATACCGGGCCTCTGAAATCCCAGCAAGGGCCTGAGACTCCCCCTCCCCCGCCTCTTCCTCCCCAGGGAAATGCCTTTCTCACTAAGCAGAAAGTTAGCCTGTCTCTCCCCAGATGGAAGACAGCCCCTAGAACTCACTGATTATAACAAGAGCCTGTTACAGCCCCTTGGGGAGCATTGCCTCATTTGAATTCCAACCCCAAATGAAATCAATACCAATAATTATATCTGTTTTTAAAGCAACGTGCTAAGGCCCTTTCTTCCTGGTGATCTCGTTTTCAACAGACCACAATTAGCCCTCTGGAGAATGCCATCGAAACTATGTCCACAGCCAATGAGAAGATCCTGATGATGATCAACCAGTACCAGAGTGACGAGAGCCTCCCCATTAACCCACTCTCCATGCTCCTGAACGGGATCGTGGACCCTGCTGTCATGGGAGGGTTCGCCAAATACGAGAAGGTGAGGGCTTCCACCCTCCAGCCGCGCCCCCCCCCCAACTGTGGCCACAGAGCGGTGACAGGAGGGCCTGGGGGCAGAGATGTAGCTGCATGTCACTATCTTACTGTGGCTGTGTGTCCCCCAAAGGGACACTTCAGCTTGGTGGGACCTCAGACACCTTCCAGAGTTTCTACAGCCCGTCTCTCATCTCCTTTCCACCCTCAATGCCACATTCTGCCGTAGCAGGAAGGAGCAGGGGCCACAAGGATCCCCTATTCCCCTGGGCATACCCGCGCACCTCTCTCAGGGAAAGGCTCTGGATCGGGGCCAGATGACAGAAGTGCAGGAGCCACACATCCAAGTACCCGTCACCTGTGTGAACCCATCTCTTCCACAGATGCTCGAAATGACCTCTACAAATGGAAAGAAATGAAACCCAGAATCTGTGAAAATATAGAAAGGATAGGAGATCAACTCCAAAATGGGAGTTATAATCTAGGCATCTGGGTCATAAGGTCTCTCCAGAGATGCCCACACATTTTAGCCACAGATTTTATTTTTGAGCCTCCTGGTGTCTACGGCAAAAAGAGAAATGCCAGTGGTTATATGAGTCACATTTTCCACTAGGGGAAAATGCCAATTTCTCAGTAGAGGGACATAGCTTTTCCCAGCATTGAAGTAGAATAAGAAGGCTTTATTTGGCTCTTACCTAGTCCGTACATTAATGGCACAGAGGGGGAAAATGGACTCCTCATTCTAATACATCTCATAATGATTTCCCTATTTATCTTTCCTATGTCCTCCACTGATGTAAAACTAAGAATACAATGCAGTAGTATAATTCAGGGACAGTAATTTCAGTCTCCCAAGCAGTCCTTCTAGCTACTCTTGGATATCCCATTAGTCATCATCAGCAAGCCTTTGTTCAGCCTTGAGGGGTGATAATATATGCCTATGTATGTGCATACACATGAGGACATAAGTCCAGAAAGAGCTAGGGGCTGCCAGGAGCACCCACAGTAAGGGAGGTGATGAGGAGGGCTGGAGCACCACAGCCAAAAGACCTTCCCGCGTGCTTTTCCCTGCGGCAATGCTCCAAAACTTGAAGGAGCATCAGAATCCCAGGCCGGCTTCTCCTTCCAGCCCCCACCCCACCCAGAGGTTCTGATTCAGTGGGTCTGGGTGGGACCCAAGAATTTACATGTCTGACAAGTTCCCAGGTGATGCTGATGCTTCTGCTCCCAGGAGAATTTGAGAAATACTTCTGTGGGGTTTGTGGCCCTTGTCCAGGGGGTTCTGATCTGAGCCTTCAGGAAGAGGAAACAATGTCCGTCCTACAGGGCCCTGCCCTATCCAAATACATGTGACCTCAAGCCTGCCCCCCCAATAGCGTCCTTTTCTAGTAACAGAGAGATCCATTGTGGGATCCAGGCCACATGAATAGGAAACCCCAAATGCCTGCCTGTCCTCCCCAGGCCTTTTTCACAGAGGAGTACACAAGGGATCACCCGGATGACCAGGAAAAACTGAGCCGCCTCAAGGACCTGATTGCGTGGCAGGTAACACACAGCTGGGCCGGGGTGGGGTCACCCTGCCTCCTTCCTGCCCTCTCCCTGCTGCGTCCCCTCTGCTAGCTAGTCTCTGGCTGGCATGGCCAAGTTTAACCCCTTCTCCCGTCCCTTGACTTTTGGCCCTTCTTCTGAATCCACATCTCCCGTGAGCAGGCTCGCACTGGAACTGGGATTTGGGGCACTGCGCCCCTGGGGCGCCACACAGGTGCTGAGCAGCGATGCTGTTCTGCATGCTGCTAAGAATGCACGTGGAATTCAGAAGAGGTGGCTTTTCCCAGTGGGACTGAAATGAAAGCCAGGACCTCCACCTGGCACGCGCCAATCAGATAATAGATTTTGGCCCCCACCCCCACCTCCTAAAGCTGACCCAGTTTGTTGCATATAATGTTCAGATGGATTATCAGGTTTGGAAAATAATTGAGGCCTTCGTTTAGTGGGTTTTTGGTCAAAGAGCCTGCATTCTGCACCTCCAGAGCCAAGCCAGAAAACTTGGAAGGCACTGTCCTTCCTGCCACCCCGCTTGTCTTTGTCTCCCCTCTATCTCTTCTCTCCTTGCACCCCATCTCCTCCCTCCGTGCTTGCTCTCTTTCAGTCTCTGTCTTCCTGTGCCTCTGTCCCTTTCTCCTTCTCTCTTAGACCTCTCTTGCTTCTATCCCTCCTCTGTCTTTTGCCTCCCTCTGCCCCTCACATCTTACTCCTCTCTCCACTTCTCTCCCTCCTTCTCCCTGCCTTTCTCTGGCTCCCTCTCCTATGTTTTCTCTCCCTCCTTCTCTCTCCTTTTATTTCTCTCTCCCCCTCTCCCCTACTCCCTGGAGGCGAAACAATCCACCACCTCCCCCCACCCAGAGGCCTCCAAAGGACAAGACTCCCCATCCTTGAACATGAACCTGCTCTGCAGGGACCACTCAGCGGCCAGAATGCCAGGTGGGCTCCAGAGGGCAGGAGAGAGAGGGAGGCACAGAGCTGGGGACAGCAGTTAACAGCTGCCTATCCTCCCTCCCTCCCTTCTTGCCAGTCACCATGCAAAGAAAAGCAAGCTATTGTGGTAGGGAGTTTTTGTTACTCTAGGGAAATCAGGGAATGAGAAGCATTGGGTGCAGCCTCTTTTCTTAAAATAAGAATTCCTAATTCAGGTCCTTCTCCGCCACTGCCAATTTATGCAAAACGAGGCTTTAAAAATGAAACAGCAAGTGCTGCATAGACACGGTTTCCTGAGTGGATTTTGTGTGTCTGGAATTTTCTCTCCCTTCTTACCTTGTGCCACCTGTGAAACCCAAACATCCCCAAGATCCCCAGCTTCCCGAGGTCATCATGCCCTTTAAATACTCAAATAATGGTATTCCCCCTCACCACCTCCAGCCCGGCAATCAGGAAGGCCTGGCTTTGATTGGGTTCCTTTCTCAGACATTTCTGGGATGCCCCAGGGAGGGCTAGCACCTCACACAAATTTGTTTGGTTGTTGGGTGTCAATTCTCAATCCATATCACTGCCCTGGGCCTCTCCACTGGGCAGGTCTTATCACCTGGTAATGGATCTTCCATGTTGTGTCCACCACAGCCAAAGCATGAACCTCAGCCTCAGAGCACAGCTAGTGCCAGGCTGTGCCTTCTAAAAGAATTCTCTCCAAGTCTTGGAGCTAATGGAGGGACACTAAAAAGAAGGGAGACTTTGAAAGCATGTATTAGCTATTACAGCTTCTAAGAGCCATTAGCTTGGCCTCTTCAGACAGCGGCCCCTGGTGGCCACCTTCTCCGTAACATTTCCTCTCCCCCCACCCCGCCCCCAACAAGCCACCATGTTACAGAAGCCCACTCCCCACCTGGTACCCCCCACTCCAAGGGGGCCATGTCCCTCCCACTCAGAGTCCAGGCACCCTAACTATGGGCACTTAACATTCAAAAGATGTTGCCCTGCCATGGTGAAGGCTGCCTTGTTATAATATTACATACAGGGAATTAGCTCTTCCTTGTCCCTTCTAACCACTCATTCTTGTACCTTGTAGTCACTGAGATCCTCCTGTGTGCCCAGCAACAGAAATAGTGCTGGACAAAATTAGGCCTGCTCCCTGACCTCTTGGAGCTTAATTCTAAATTGGATCTTAGTTTCACAAAGCCAGATACACTTTGGATTTTTCTCAAAGCCTGAGAACTTTCGATTTCAAAGGGGAATGAATGTCCTTGCCCCTAGTCTAGCAACACAACAAAAGCCAAAGCTTGCCAAGTACTTTTTTGTGTTCAAGATTTCACAGATCTCAAGATCGATTGCTTCTTAATTTTTTTTTTCTTTGTAAAGATTTTCTCTATATTTATCAGCGTGGACAGATGTCTACAGTATATTCATCTTTTAAACATGTTCTGAGATATTACAAACAGAAAAGTACACATAGCAAAAATATGCAGTGCATTGATATCACAAAATGTACACCCATATGACCACCACTTGGATGAAGAAGTAGAGTTCTGCCAGGACCCAGAAGCCAGTTTGTGTCTGTAAGCCTCGCCTGTATCATTGCTAGTCTTCGCCATGGCTGACTATTACCCTGCTTGCACAGTAATCATTTCCTTGCTTTTTTACAATAGTTTTTACTACTCAAGCACTCACTCCTAAACACTGGAGTTTACTTGTGCTTATTTTTGGCCATAATACAAATGAAGCCACACAGTATGCGTCCTTTGGGTCTAACTTATTTGCTCAACATTATGCTTGTAAAATTCATTCATCTTGTTGTACATAGCTAACATTCATCCGTTTTCACTGATGTATAATAGTCTGTACAGCTGGATTGTGTAACTCTACCGAAACATATTTATTTCTTTTTCAACTGATGGAGATTTAGGTTGATTGTAGTTTGGGGCTATTACAAGGAATGCTGTTCTGAACATCTTTATATGTGTCTTTGGGGCACACGTTTGCATAATTTCTGATGGGTGTGTACCTAGGCATGGAGTCGGTTATAGTATATGAGAATATCTAGCTCTGGTAGATACTACCAAACTTCAATCAGCATAGGTTAGTTTTGCCTGTTCTTGAATTTCATATAAATGGTATTATACATATGTACTACTACACAGTATCTACTACTGTGTGTCTGGCTTCTTTTGCTCAACACAATGCCTTTGAGCCAGGTTGTTGCATATATCAGAGATCTATGTTTTTCGTTTCCTTCATCCATTATATGAATATACAACATAACAATAACATAACAATGTATTTATCCATTCTCTTGTTGGTGGACATTTGGGTTGCTCTCAGGTTTTGTGTAGTATGAATAAAGTTGCAGTGCACGTTCTGGTTCGTGTCTTTTGGTGAACTTGAGCACTCACTTCCCTCAGTATGTATCTAGTGCTAGAATTTCCAGGTCAAGCATCTTTAGCCTTGCTGGATACAAAGAAACAGTTTTCCAAAGAATCAGCTTTGGCTTCCTCAATCCTCTCTGCTGTAAATTTGTTTCCTTTGTCATCCATACCTACTCTCCCTTATATTATGTCCTTCCTTTTACTCTTGTGGGATTTAATTTGCTGTTCTTTTACTAACATTTTGAGATGGATGCCTAGATAATTGACTTCCTGTCTTTGTTAGTATGTAAACCTCAAGCTATAAATGTATCTCCGTTCTTTAATGATATCTTATTAGTTTTTATATGTGGGATTTCTATTATCATTCCTCTTTTTTTAAATAAGATCTTTGTCTTGTTTCATAGATGGAGGATCTTTTCTGTTTCTATATATTAATTAAACTTTTTAAAAATAATGTTTCCTTAGGCCCTCTTTATTCTCCCTGTTTTTTCTAAGTTAGTTCATTTCTTCCTCCCTTCCTTTGTTCCTTCCTTCCTTTTTTCCTTCCTTCCTTTTTGCTTTCTTTCCTCTCTGTTGGTTCTAATCTCTGTCTTTCATAGTGGAAAGCCTCCTCCAATGTCTGGCGATCTTCATAGTTAAGACTGAGGCACGAAAGAGCTGAGTGAAACTCTATGTGCATGGGTGATAGCTTTGTCAACTAGATGGCATCACTATATGGTAACTGAGTGATCCACAAATGCCATTCACTTTCTCCAGCTACACATCTTTCAAACATAGGAATGGTAATCCTGGCAATGATGCTGCTGGAATCTGGGACTTGGGGAATGAAGGGCTTCCTGTCAGTGTGCAGACTTCCCCTCCAACCCCCATTTCCAGTCTGGCTCCTCATCCCTGCCCTCCGTTGTGCCTGGTACCCTCGAGCCCAGAGCTCCTTGTTCTAATTGTTCTAAAGGATAAGCTCCTTCTTCTTGGGGAAATGGAAAAATACAACACTTGGCCACAGGGTGAAGTGATGAGGACCTGGAGATCTAACTGCTCCTGTCACAGAACTTCAACCTATCCCTCTGTGTTGAGCTCCTCAAATCACCCTGACTTTTCTGGGGTACCTACTGCCTCCAATCCCTAAGTCCCTCATAGGTTCCTTGAGGCAGATTGGCCTCTTTGTATCATTAACCCCTTCCTCTGCTCCGGGAGGTCTCTTGCCATCCTCCATCCACTGGACATGGTGTAGGTCAAATAAGATTTCAGTTGCTCACTCACCTTGTCCCTTCAGGGATATCTCCCAAAGAAGGATGCAGCAGTGTCCTTATGTCACCATCATGGAAATGTTGATTTTTTTTCTTCAAAATAATCTATATTCTACCTCTTTGTACCCCTAGTTATGTCTCGCTGGGGCCACATCACTAACTCTCTCAGCATTCCTTCTAGTAGTGACCACCATGGCTCGGCTGCTCTTCCTTCTAGCTACTGTTGAGACAGCATCCCATTGACCTCCTTTGTTGATAAATGAGTTTAACTCCCTCACATCTGTCACCTCATCCTCCCCCACCTTCCCAAGGCTTTTACATCACCTTTTAAAAATTCCCTATTGGCCAGTACCTTAATGTATTAACACTTCCCTGTCTTTCTTCAGCAGCCACATAAAGTATCACCAGACCTCCCATGTTATAAGACAAGGCTGTGTCATTCCTCCTTTTCCTTTCAGCCCTTCTTTTCTTCTATCCCCCAGCTTCTGACATTCATTCTTTCCCTTTGCATTGCCAAGAGCTTCTTGGGCAAGGCTTTAGGTGAGCACCAAGAGCTTCTTCCCTGCTAGCTCCACACCCTGTCCCTCAGTAGATTCGTTAGGGGAAGATTTTCCCAAACATACAGCCTCTAATGGGGGTCCGATCCTCCTAGGGGACAAGGGTGGCCAGAGGTGTTTCTCCCCTTCCAGAGTGAACCCCAGGGCTGCAGCTTCCCCATTTCCCAGGGCTGCCGACCCTGTGTGAAGGTCTCAGAGGCCCCAGTGCCCTCGACAAGTTCTGAGCAGGCCAGTGTGACTTCACCAACCTTCACGGGCCAGGTCCCAAGCTGCAGCCAGGAAGCCAGCCTGTGGCTCATCATCTACCACCCTTCTCTCCAGATCCCCTTCCTGGGAGCTGGGATTAAAATCCATGAGAAAAGGGTGTCAGAGAATCTGCGACCCTTCCACGACCGGATGGAAGAATGTTTCAAGAACCTGAAAGTGAAGGTGGAGAAGGAGTATGGTGTCAGAGAAATGGTATGTGTGGTCCCCGTGGCTGGAAGGGGTGAGACTGGTGGAGTGTGGTGTGGGGAGCGGGGCAGTGGGGATGCGAGCTGGCAGGGACCCAGCAAAGGAACCTGCCCTGGAGGAAGACCTGATCCAGGGGAACCTTCCTGTAAACATGGTCCCTCACGGTCACCCCCAGACAAACCCCAGGTGCACAGTGAGCCCTCCCCACTTAGGGACTGCCGAAGCACCGAGTATGTGCCCAGTCTGATCTCAGCACTTGGTGTCTACGACTTGTTAAGTCCTCACAACACGCCTGGGAAGTAGGAATGATTTTCAACTCCTCGCATCTCTTTTGGAGGTTAAGAAGTGTTAAGTAACTTGCCAAAGGCTACATAACAAGTGAGTACAGGACAGAATTTTCACCTGGCTCTGTTGGCCTCCAGAGCAAGTGCTTTGGGCCACTAATGGGCTCTGTGACATAAAGAGGCCAGTGGCCTGGTGCTCACAGGGACATCTTTATCCTCCTCCCCAGGAAGTGGAATCCTGAAACATCAAGGCTGTGCGGTCCTGTAGAGGCCATGTGGCTCAAGCCTCTTATTCTATAGATTAGAAAACTGAGGCCCAGAGGGGGTCATGAGTTCCTAAAAGAGTGTAGAGGTAACCCGGGCCTCTTGTTTTCTGACCCAAGTTTTTCCATGAAACGAGTTGTGTCTTCCAGCCATGACATGACACTGCACTGCAATTCTGTTAACTGTTCAGAATTGGGTCAGATCTCACAGGTTAAGGGCAGATTCCTCTATAAGGCTGCCCTCCCTTCAGGCACTGGGGTTCCCAAGCCCCTGCACTTCTGACCAACTGGTTACAAATTTGGGGGTTCCTTCTACCCCTTCGGGTTCACAGAATTCCACAGAAGTCAAGAAAGCACTATGCTTACGATGACAGTTTTATGGCAAAGAATACAAATTAGGACCAGCCGAATGAAGAGATGCAGAGGGTGAGGTCTGGGAGGGTCCCAAACACACAGCTGATGTGCCCTCAGGACATGTCACTCGCCCATCCATGTACAATTACCCACCAGGAAACTCACCTTAGCTGGGGTGTTGGAAGTTCTTACTGGGGTTTTACTACATAGTCATGAGGGGGTGACTCATTGGCCACCTGACTGAAATCTGTCCCAAGCCCCTTCCCCTCCCTAGAGGTAGAGCATCTATCACCTGGGGCAAAGCCTGACCCTGTAACCCCACAGTTGGTCCCTCCGGCCTGGCCTCCAGCCTGAGTCTTCTCATGAGTATCAGGGGCCCCCACGAAGAATGAGGACACTCCTGTCCCTGGGGACATCGCAGGGGTTACGAGGTCACCTCCCAGGAACAAGGAAGGAATAAAGGCCAGCCCAATTCTTTTCTAAAACAACAATGCCCTCGCGTCAGCCGCCAGGAATTGTGCGGCCACCCTGCTCTGCGCAGCAGCTGAGCCCTGTTCAGGTGGAGGAGGCAGCGGGAAGGGGACACCACAGGAGCCGGCCCATCCAGCCCGAGGGCCTGCTGCTAACCTCCCTGCTCTCCCCACCTGCAGCCCGACTTCGAGGACAGGCGCGTGGGCCGCCCACGGTCAATGCTGCGCTCCTACAGGCAGATGTCTATCATCTCCATGGCTTCCATGAACTCTGACTGCAGCACCCCCAGCAAGACCACCTCTGAGAGGTCAGTGCCTGCCCCGGGAGCCCCCTGCACTCCTGCCCCTCCGCCCCCGGCCCCCAGCAAAGCCTTGCTGCTCCTCCTTCTGCCCCAGAGCCCACCCGTCTACCACCTCCGTACCCTTATGTCTCCAAGCCTTTCCCTAGCTGGTGCCTCACTAAAACCCTCACGGCCACACTGTGACACTGCTCTTCTTAGTGCCACTGAGAGGGGTCATTTGAGGCCCAAGCCCAAGGTGGCTTTTCCTGAGGCCCTGGCAGGGCAGCCATGGCTGGCACTCTCCCAGCCTGGCCATCTCTGCAGCCAGACCTCCCCCCACCACCCCCAGCCTGCCTCAGTCTGGCTTCTCCTCTCCTCTATCCGGGTGCCGCCCCCCAACTCCCCACTGCAGAGCTGCCCCTCCTGCACCCCCCCATCCCTCTGCAGGGGAGGAAGTTTCTCCCTCACCCCACGAAAAGCCTCTCCCCTTCCGCCGTCCTGGTGTCTTCCGCTCCCCCCAGCCCGACTCCACTACCCTGAGGACGTGGGAACGTGAACCGGGAACTCTCCGCGTGCAAGACCATGCTAAGGGGCCCTCAGGCCTCATCGCGTGGCTGCCCTGCAAGGTCCTGCAAACACCTGCATTTACTGGAAGGAAAGAATGGCTCAGGGAGGCTGAGTGATTTGCCAAAGGCATTCAGTAAAGGGTGGCTGTGTCGGATTTGAATCCAGAGCCACATCTTAACAAGTGTCTCTCCTCACTGCCAGTCTTTCTTGCTTATGGCTCACCTCCTTCAATTTCATTTTACTCTGTATTTTGAATGTTTGCAAATTAAGCAAGTGGCTCCCCAAACTCTACCAGCTTAGCTGATCTACCCCCGGCCCCTGTAGTGACAACTCAGCCAGCCTCAGTCCCTGCAAGGCAGTTCCCCTGAAGCTCTAACTGCAGTTTCTACTGCTACCCCTTGTGCCCTTCAGCTTTGATCTGGAATTAGCAACCCCTAAGACTCCAAAAGCAGAGCCAGTGGAGATGATCTCCATGGGGAGCACTCTGCCGGAAGTCAAGCTGCGGAGGTCCAAGAAGAGGGCCAAGAGGAGCAGTGTAGTGTTTGCGGACGAGAAGGCAGCAGCCGAGTCGGACCTGAAGCGGGTGAGCAGCCCTGGCAGGATGCCTCTTACACCATTAGCACATCTCTGCTGTACACCAGGCATGTTATCCGGGGCCCTCAGACAAGGTCGCATTTGAGCCTCACGTTTGCAGTGAAGTAGCTGATGCAGAGGCAGAGTCTGAGGAGCAGGGAGGCGAAGTGCCGCAGGTGTCCACACAGCTGACGTGACAGAGCTGGGATTTGAACCCTGGCTGTTAGACTCCAGCCCGTGCGTGTCTTTCCCACCATGCGGCCAACGGGAGAAGCTGCCTGTGGCATTCATAGAGAGAGCAGCCCTCCCACTGCTGGGCTGGGTGTTTCTACATCTCCAGCCCGTGTCCCTAGCCCAAGGGCCATTCCAACCTCTGACATCTCAGCCCCTGCTGGGCTCCTCCAGCGAGCCAGGAGCCCAGCTGCAGATGCAGAGATGGACTCTCACTGCCCTGACTTTGAGAGTTTTTGTCTTACAACTAATAACTATTTAATAATGAAACTTGGTGTCATTGGGTGCAAATCTTAGTTTCCCCTGAAAGAGAAGTTTGTTGAAGACATTATTAGAGCCTAGGAAGGGGAGAGGGATTAACTGTACTGGCAAGGGAGGGGTGCGGGATGAAAGGGCAAGGGTCGAACTAAAATGCCTTCCAGTAAAGAAAAGATCCGCCACACACTTCCCTGTAGACCTCGGAGGCTACTCTTGCCAGGGGACAAGACTGGAAATAAGTCCTCCATGTTTTACAATTCGAGGGGGTATCATTTACATGATTGTCTAAATGAATGTCTCCCAACCCCTGGAGTTATAGAGTATGCAACCTATGCAACCGTACATGACAGCCTGGCATGGAATGATACAAAAAAGAACAGTCAGCTTGAAACTAGGTACACAGAAGCCTTGCCAAGCCCTTAGCACTGATTTTTCAAGGCCAGGAGCTGTCTGATGCTAAGCCTCTGTGGTATGTGTGTGTGTGGGTGGGTGGGTGGGTGTGTGTGCATGGTGTGTATGCCTGTGTATATGCATGGTGTATTTATTCAGCTTTCCAGGAAGCACGAGTTCATGAGTGACACCAACCTCTCGGAGCATGCAGCCATCCCCCCCAGGGCATCCATCCTCTCTCAGATGAGTTTTGCCAGTCAGTCCATGCCCACCATCCCAGGTATGCACCCTGCCACCAGCAGCACCAGAAGGTACAGAGATAGCAGGGCTACCAGCCTGGGGGGTGGAGGGTGGGTGAGGACTGTATCTATGTAGCAAAGGGGCCAGGCATCCTGGGGGCAAGAGGTTCTGCTCAGAGGCCCCCTGTCCTCTGAGCTCTCACCACACCACACCACACACACACACCCTTTTGTAGGGGAAACTGACCTGCAAGCTCCACCTGGGGCTGGGCTGGAGGCCTGTTGTCCCTCTGGTCCTCAGGATTCACTGGGAATCCACTTGTCAAACCAGGTAGCCCTGCATTCTCAGTTAGCCCGGCCCCTCCATGGGCCAGAAGCCCTGCGTTTCCTTCTTTGACCTGGAACACTATTTCTGGAACTTGTAGAAATTGCCACCACACCTTCTAGTCGTAGAGCGTTTGATTCATAGATGCTACCTATTTCCGCCACCACTCCTTCATTGTCCAGGGAGGAGGTTAGCAGCACACAGATGGCCGTTCCTACGTCACAGAGGGGGATTCTGCCACCCTGATGGAGACGGGCACACCTGAGGTCCCTGCGTCTGACGTGCCGCTGTCTGCAGGGCAAGGGCAGGGAGGGCAGGACAGACCCGTGCTGCCCTGTGGAGCTCGGCAGGCCGATCGCAGCAAAGACACCTGCCGTTTCTTGAGTGCTGACCCCACCAGGCCCTGTGCTAAATTCTTCATCTTTGATTTACACCTCAACACCCAGCTATGAAGTAGATGATGTCATTAGCCCCACTGTGTGGATGAGAAAACTGAGGTACTAGCAATGTCAGTCTCCCACACGTCACCAGCTAGGAAGGGGCAGAGGCTGAGTGTAGGCCAGGCCCTCTGCTCCTGGAACAATGCCCTTGACCCCTGCCCAGCCACACCAGGCAGGACAGCCCCTGAGCTATGGCATCTGGCCGGACACACAGTCGTGTCACTGTCATCTGCTCACACCACCACAATACCCTGGAGGTCTGTGCTCTTGTCCACATGTTACCAGTGTTGAAACCGAGCATCAAGAAGTAGCGAGTAGGCAGGTCTGCGTGTCTGCGAGCTGCGAGCTGTAGCTACCAGTTCTCTCCACCAGCCCCTGCCTTGGGGAAGATGAGAAATCCACGCTCCCAGTGTAGAAAGAAAGGTGAAGGAAGAGTGAGCTCACATGGTCTCCCCACCTTGGGGCAAAAGGCCACCTTCCCTGAGGAAGTCAGGGCCCCAGCGGCCAGGGGGCTTTCCCCCAGGTCCCCCACATTTCTGGCTCAGAAGCCCTGACAAGACTATGATCGGGCCAGGCGCAGGCCCCTGCCGGGTCGGGGGGAGGGGGGTTGGCAAGCCATGCCCAGGAGGACAGCTTCAACAGCCCCCTTCAAGCAACAAGCAGTCCTTCCCGCCTCCTCCTGGCACCGTGACGTGTCCTCCCTGGTTTCTGTCTCTGTCCCCCAGCCGGTCTCCTGCCTGCCTCCCCCACGTCACCCTCCTGTCCCTTGGGCACCGCCTCTCCTCCGCGCACCCACTCACTCCCTCTCCCGGCTCTCCTTCCAGCCCTCACGCTCTCAGTGGCAGGCATGCCTACGACGGATGATGCCAACTCGTCCCCCCGCCTCAGCCAGACCTTCTTCCCTCTCTCGGACGACAAGAAGACACTCAAACGGAAGAAAGTAAATCAGTTCTTCAAGACGATGGTGAGGACCCAGATGGGTGGAAAGACAAGCGTATGTGGGGGGTGGGGGTGGGAAGAAAGCAACGCAGAGAGAGGAGAAATTGGGGGTGAGGAAGGAAGGCAAGTATGTGTGCGCATGCACACGCATGCATGTTTGCACACTCCCCGGGAGGCATGGTCAGGGCCTGCAGGGGTTGCGACACTAGCCAGAAATGCCCCCACCGCAGTTCTCCTCTTGGGCCCTGGTCTCTGAGCAGGACTGACCCCAGCTGGGCTGCAGGAACGTGCCAAGGGGAGACACAGGGCCCCTGGGACCTCAGGACCGGTCACCATCCTTTGCCTAAGTTGCCCTTTGGTGCACCTGTCAGAGCCACAACAGCTGGCTATCTTTGGAAGCTCAAAGTTCTTTTTAACATTTTTTTGGAGGAGCTTTCCTATTCAACTTATATTACAGAATCCTACTAATTAAAAGTGAGTTTCCAAGCCCTGACTTTTCAAGTCCCGCCTCCTATTGTTACTTGTCAGTCTTTACTCAAGATTAAAAAGGAGTCCCGTTGACACTTCTGATCCTCAAGATGATATAAACCGGAGCTCGGCTACTATAATAATCACAAGTTTACCGTGAGCGTGCAGTGAGTCAGGCACCACGCGGAGCACTTTCCAGACCTTGTCCAACGTGACCTGCCACCACCCCTGGGAGGAATGTACAGGGCTCCCGGAGTTAGGGGAGTGACTGGCCTGGGTCCCCACAGTGCAGGAGACCACAGAGGCTGTGTTTGAACCACAGTGGGCTACCACCTCCCTGGGCATGGTCAGGGTCATGCTACCTCGCACTCACGGGGCTTTGGGCGGGGATCCTTGTGACTGCAAGGGGGAAGCCCCGCTTCGGCACTCATGAGAATCCCATCCCGGGGGTGTGTGTGTTTATTTTCTTTTCCCACAAAGCTGGCCAGCAAATCCCCTGAAGAAGGCAAGCAGATCCCTGACTTCCTGTCGTCGGACCTGTGAGCAGCTGCTGACCGGGGCCGCACAAGGGGAGCCAGAGAGAGGACTTTCTGGAAGAAGAGAGACACGGTGGGACATTGAGGTCTCAAACAGTGGGGAGACCTCCTGCCAGTTGCCCTCCCTCAGAGGGAACAAGGGCTGATCTGGCCACCCCCGTGATGTGGGTGGCGGGTGAGAACGCCCCCCGCCTGGATTTGGAGCCAGCAAAGATGCTCTCTCCCGCCACGCTCTCCCCAACATCCTAGGCGCATCTTTTTATTACCCGGTTTCTTAAGTATAAGGAGCTGTATTTTTATTTCATTTTTTCAAGTCCTAGCACTTAACAGAAAAGCCTTTTAAATATTCTTTTATTTTATTTTTGGTTAATAGTTTTGTACTTTACATTTTTTAATACAACCAGCCAGTCATTTTCCTAGCTGATCTGCTCCAAAGTGTTGCTGTTTTCTTACCGACAATAAAAATGGGTGCATGGCTCCAGTCAGCCTTATTGCATAATTCCATCAGCAGCGTCCCTGCAGCCTGGAGAGAGTGGGAAGGCAGGCCATCCAGGGCCTGCCGTGATGGTGAGGGGCCTGGCTCCAGCCTGTCAGAGCACCAGATTTGCCCTCCTTGTCCATGCCACCCCCAGGAGTCTTCTCCATGATTCCAGTTCCTTAGGGGCTGAATGCTGGGGTGTAGGCAAGCCAGAAAATCTGCCACAATCTTCCTCAAGGTGATCTTCATATTACCTTTTTCCCCTTTTGGAAACAGAAAATCCACTCAACCAAATGCTCAAGAGTTAGGTAAACAGTGGACAAACGGTCTGGCCTTTGGATTTTGTCATCCAGTCAGAAGTGGTAGCTTTTCTTGGAGGAATGCCAGCCTTCTCAGATGAGACCCAAGGGAGGTGAGGAGCTCCTCCGGGCAGAGAAGAGAGCATGGGAGCAGAGTCTCACCAACATAGCCCAGGGGAACTGTGCAGGGAGAGGTCTTGGCAGAGGCTAAGGACTCCATCGGGGAAAGATGTCAGTATTTTGGTGGATATTAAGTACATGGCAACACAGAGCTATCTAGAGATGTGGGGTAGACCTCACTTCTTAGAGATGGGGACCTGGGGGTAGTGAGAGATGAGAGAGAAAGAGCTCAAATTGATTGAGCTTGACCGTGCCCAGCACAGTGTTACAGACATGATGAGAATTAGCTTCCTATATTAAGATTTAAGAGGTGGATACGATTATTACCCAGATGAAGATGCAGAGGCATGAAGTGACCTGAGATCATCCACTTGGTAAGTGGAAATGTTGGGATTCAAACCCAGGCAACCAGACGGGAAGCTTGGCTTTTAACCGTGACCCTGTGCTATCTCTCAGACACCTTGGTGCCTGAGTCCCTATAGCCTTTGTCTACCCCAGTCTCTTCCTGGGGGCCTCTAGTTCCCCTTGTCAAGCCCAGACCTGTTGCTGCTGGTCCAGCTTCCAATTTCCTCAACAGTCCACAAAGTCCTGTTATGGTGGTGGTTGGTGTTTTGTCTGTGTTTTGGGTTCTCTATGGTGAGGAGACGGCTCCTGAAGGTTTGGAAGAGAAGTGAGGGCCCTTGAGAAGCTGAGGAGCCGGACACCCCTGGGCATCTCCATGCTGCCCATGTAGACCCTGGAGCCTGTGTGTCCCTTGTTGTATCTGTCGATGCTGTTCTGCTCTTTTCCTCTCCAGGTGATAGGCTCAAGCTTCCCAAGCCTGCTGTTTCTCAGTCCAAACTACGAGATCCCAGTATTTAACTTTGAAATGTCTGCCCTTCCAACTACTAGTGGACAAAATCTCAACAAAGACAAAAATATGGTCTCCCCTTTTGCCACGGCTGTAGAAGAACAGACACGATCCTTTGCCTTGAAACTGCAGAGGGCATTCCTTACCAAGGCTTCTTGCAAAACACCCAGATTTGGACACTGTTGCTGCATCCTGGGGAAGTCAGCTTTAACCTCTAAAACTTCCATAACTCTGTTCTCCTTGCTCAACAGTGTGTGGCTCCATGAGTTCCATTTCTGGAAAATTGTCAGTATCTGTGAGTTTTTATTAAGTCTGAAGGGGTCTTGAGCACTTCTCCTTTTCCCATAGAAGTGGAGCAAACAGTGAAATTGGTGGATTCTTATTTAAACAGAGTTTGAGATCACATCTCCTTTCAATTAGGACTGTCATCAGGCTGATGGCCCACTTGGCACTTTGTCAGGACAATTCCAGATGTTGTGACCCATGCCAATAACATCGATGCTCACAGTAACAACCATAACAAATGACAAGAATAAGGCTTCCATTTACCAGACACTTACTCTATGCCTCCTCTCCTCACATCTTCCCACCAATCCCCCGAGGTTGGCCGAGGACCCCAGGTTGGACGTGGAAACCCAGGCCTGGAGAGCTAGCTGTGTGTCACCCATCCAGTAAGTTACCCGGCCAGCTGTGTCCACTCCTAGCCTCATGACCTTAATCCACATATTCATTTTCTGGCTTTAACCTCAGCTCAACATCAGACTCTGCATGCTCCCTGCCCATTTTGAAAGTCTCCCCCTCAGTGCCAATGATGGCTCCCAGGATAAGTGAGCCTGGGGGCTCTGTGTCCAGCACAACTCTCCTTGTGCGCCTGGGTGTTCCCTTATTGTAAGCCAACTGTGTCAAAAACTAGCTAGTGCGGTCAAGGAAGGGCATACATATGCCTTCAGAGTGCCCAGGGAGGGAGAGTGGGGTGGGTGGGGTGGGGTAGTCTTTTCCTTTCCTGGTGGAGAGTTCCTAGGGACCTTCAGAGATCACTTCATCCAACCATCTCATTTTAAAGTTAAATGACTCCTCCAAGGCCACATAGCTATGATCAGCAGGACTCCATCTAGAATCAGCCCTGCCTGACTCACGAGTTTCTTTGTAGGTAATCTCCCCTCCGTGGCACTCCCTCACCCTCTGTTTAGGCACCCAGAGACCCCTTGCTTTCTGCTGTCCCTTCCTCTTCCTTTGAGACAGAGCTGATATCTACCATTCACACTCTAGCGTGAGCTAGGGCACCAAGGTTACTCTTCTTAGGGGAGGGGCATTTTTAGCCTTATCTCTAAACGGAGAGTAGAAGCCTTCTTTCTTTCTTCCAGACTTTCAGGCTTGTGTCAGCAAGTAGTAGAGAAACAGAAAATCAAATGGTCTTCCCAGCATCTAAAATAGGCTGGGCTCTGCCCTCCAGACATCCTAACCTGTAACACATCCGTTTGCTGTTCCTTCTGAACATTGGGTGCCTCTGCCTTCCTGTCATAGCTGCAGTTCCCAAAGAAACAGATCTTCAGGCAATGACTGGTTACCTGTGTTTGGGGGCTATGCAATCCTAAGGCAGCAAGAAAGGGGGAAGGGGATAGGAAGCAGTGGCTGGTGGGGAGTCACCATGCCGGCCTGAGGAATGGGGCCATATCACAGACTCAGTGTCAGTCAGCAGGCTGGACACTCAACAGTAGCAATGACTATACCTTGACGAGAGGGATCCCATGTGTCGGATCCATGCACAGGCTCCATCCCTGCTCATTTTGTGGTCCATGGGGCAAGCAAATGGTGGCTGAGGAGCAAGGCTGACTGGCGGTACGGGTCATCCAATGCACCTGATTGTCACCCACTTTATCAATGGTCTTTCTGGTGGGTGTTCAAATGTGGATCTACCAGCCTTGAATCTGTGCCTGCTGGACCATGCATGCACCTATTCCCTAGACCCCAGTAATCAACCTTCCAGTATTATTCTTTTCAGTCCTCTGACCAACCAGCCCAGCCATGCTCTCCTGCCCGGGAGTGTGAACGTCCATCTCAGCTCACACCTCCCTCGATTAGCTCGGTCAGCCAAGTGTGTTGCTTGCAGCTCTGCCCCTAGGGGGGATTCCCCTCCTCCCTGGCTGGGGCTGTACACAACACCAGTCCATTTCTGGCTAGCACCAACAGAGTGGGCCCCCCGTCAATAAACAAGGCATTAGTCTCACCCTTCTCCGTAAGTTGGCCAAACGGAACCCCTCCAAGTGTCCACAGGTCTGGGTTGAAGGAGAAACATCAGTGAAGCAAAAGTGAGTTCCCTGGGATCCTGATCATATGATGGGTTTCTGCCATGTTGACCCACCTTATGCCTCGGAGACACCCAGGACAGCCATGGTGGACATCTCTGGTTGCACTCTCAGTCTCCTCCCATGAGGTGCTCAGCCTCTGCTAGGACCCAGTAGCCCTCTGGGAGCTATTCCTTAAACAGAGGGGCAAGGAGAACATAGCTGTGCTTTAGGTCCCAGAAGTACGAGCTGTGATTATCATAAAGGGCCTCGTCAGGGACTCTGTTCAGCATCCACATCTACCACAGATGGTTCTAGCAGCATCAGAACGGCTGGATCATATGGTCCTGTACACAGAACTGCCTGAACCACAGCCTGGACCTGCTGCAGAGTACTTTTGCTTTAGGCTCTGCTCATATTGGCATACTCCAAAGTCACCTGATGAGTAGTTTGAAGCAGTGTTCCCATTTTTTTAGTGTCTAAAAATCGAAAATGACTCCTCAATTTTGATGCCTCTTTTTTAGTGGAAGGAAATGTGAGATACAACAGCTTGTTGTGTATATTCAGTGGGATGTCCCAGCATGTCCTGACCCCTGGAGCCCTAAATATTGGTAACATTTACATCGGTGAGAGGTGGCAGGCCCCTTCTTTAATAAACCCAGGATGTTCAGGCATCTCCACTCCATTCACTGTAGGCCACCATCAGATCAGTTTTTAAGGAATCATCTTAGGAAACTATTAAAACCAGTTCCAGATATTTTTACTATAACACTGAATCCTCAGTGAGTCACAAGTGCCCTATGCCAATGAATTCTCTCCTATCCAATCTTATTTTTTACAACCACCTAAGCCTTGACACCCTCAGATCCATCCCCCTGTATCTTCCCAGTACCTGTTAGCCAGATGCCCAATCCCTGGCTTGTAAGCTCTATCTTCCCACAAGAGGACACACAGTTCCTCTCTCAGGCTACACCAAGACCTGCCTCTGGTTACCAGGCAGAGGCAGTGAGAGGCAGTGAGGGAGTCAGTTCTCCAGAGGAATAAGCCTCAATCCGCAGGGCATATGCTGCCTGTGAGCTCTCCAAGAGAGGGAAGGCTGTTCTCTTCTGACAAGAGAAAGAGACTACTTCTGCCAATCAGGAGGTTTGAAGGGTTCGAGATTCTCAGGCTCAATCATCCAGTGTCCTAGACCAGATCCTGGGGTCTGCTCTTTTCCTCTCAGGGCCCTGAGGAGGCAAGGAGACTTGCTGAGGCTTTGCATTAGTATCTTTGAAATTCCTTCACCATTAGAATCAGATTCTGACCCGATTTCAGCATAGTCTGCTCTGCAACTGCATGAGATAGAGTCTCTCTTAAAACTTGTACAGAGGCTATAATAATGCCCCCCCGCCGAGATGTCCATATCCTAATCCCAGAACCTATAAATATGTTAGGTTCCATGGCAAAGGGGAAC